TTTGTGTCCTGAATACCACACAGAACATTTTTTTTCTGAAACCGATATCTTATTTTGCAAAATCATTCCATTAATGTCCCATTTGACTCTGTGTTGATATATACATATATCATATATGATATATTATTTCACCACAGAGTCCAGTGTTGGGCAAGTTACTTCCAAAATGTAATACATTATATATTACTAGTTACTGTCTTTTGAAATTAATTAGTTACATTACAATATTACTGTTTCTGAATTGTAATGCGTTACACTACTTTTGAGTTACTTTCACCAAAATACCCACATTAGTATTATAAAATGCAAAAATTTAGTTTATTGCTGCTCATTCTACATCCAGTGGAGGGTAATGTGGTAGGTCTATATAGCATAAAAGTATAAAATCATATTTAGATACCGGTATTTAGGTCTACATTAATGTTACGTTGTAGTTTAGGTTAAACACAGATAAGCACAAACCGCATTATTACATTCATAATAATAATAAATAACACCAGTAAATAACGCAAAATGTTATAATGTACAAACAATAAACACAATACCTAGCCTATGGGCTATTTTGAGCGGTTTCAGAAGAAAACAAAAATGAAAAATATAAGCTGCTAAACAAGCCAAAACGAACAGGCTAATTCAATGCGAAATTGAAAGCAAATGGCGTTCTCGCACAGCCTACCTCTCTCATTAGGCATTAATCCATTAAATGTGTCCATATTTGCAATGTATTTGAATGCTAAACTATTAGTTATTATGTAAACCAGGCTTACTTAACGCGCTTAAAAAACATCCTCATCACATGAGCAAATGTGTGTTTGGCCCGAGCTCAGGCTGAATGGCACAGATTGTACACAGTATGCACTATTTAAATTACGAGTGTATCTATACGTTTGGTTGACTATTTTATTCTGATAGTGAACAGGCTGCAACGTTTGCAATGCTGTATGTGTGTGCGTGAGGCGCCGGCGCGATCGAACAGTGGAAACAAACAACAAAAAAATACTAATTTAAAAATACATTTTTGGTCATACAGATCATTCGAAACTGCAATGTGTTTACTTTTATTTCTGTCATCTCGGTTTCCTTTCCATGGACTTTCGTAGAGCGTTGCGCCACACAAATAGCCTATGAACCAAACTCAGCAGCATATCTCTCTTTTCCTTTCGTTTTGTTAATCTGTTAATTAAGCTATTTAAGTCAAATATTTCACATATTCATTCATTTTATATATAGGCCTACACTATAATTTAATAAAAACAGATTTTATTTTTAGTTAAACTTAATTTTTGTTGCTTGTCTGTGCTCGTCCGCTGCCTTTTTCTCTTCTCCGACCCCGCAGCTCTCTCCGATAGCTTAGTGGCACCAGTCCAGGTGTTTCCAGGTTTTACTCATGCTATTTCTCCATGTTGAGAGTTTGGTGTCGCACATATTGCACCAGACTATGCAATCTTATCCTTTGCTCCGATTAAATGAAAATAACAGGAGTGTGTCCATCTCACAAATGTAGAATCCACGTCTCTGCAGTCATCTCAACCATTTAATTCCAGCAACAGGAAATAGACAAACTATTTTACCCGCCAAATTTTTTCTCTGGTGCTGTTTTACGGTGTTGGTAAATTCACCACTTAATTTTGAGTTAAAATATGTTGTTATAACTTGCGTTACTGAGATTGTAACGAGTAATAATATTACCCACATTTTATTAGTAATGCGTTATATTACTGCGTTACAGCAAAAAGTAATATACTACTGTATTATTATTACTTTTGGAATGCGTTACTCCCAACACTGACAGAGTCAAATGGGACATTAATGAATCTAACTGGATTCATTTGAATTAGGTACATTCTTTATTTTTGACTAAATTTATTAATTATTATTCATGATTCAGATTTTAGTGTGTATTTTTATTTACCGGTATTTATTTTTTAATAGGCTCCATTCTCTTTCTATATGAACAGTTTCATATTAACTGGCTATACTCTGCCAGCTACATGCTTATTGATTTTATTAATTGTCTGTATTTTTGGTCTCTTTTTAGCTTTTATGTATGAATTATTTTTTTAACAGACTACTTTCTCTTTCTTTATGAACAGATTTATACCCATGTTGTCTATTAATTTGGCCTTAATTATTACAAACTTTGAAATTAACCACAAAGAAACGTGTTTACCTCCTACTCAAACTCATTTCTGTCAATAAAAATTGTTTATTAAAAGTTTTAAATCCCATACACTCTTTTTGGCATATTTATTTTTTAATAGGCTCCATTCTCTTTCTATATGAACAGTTTCATATTAACTGGCTATACTCTGCCAGCTACATGCTTATTGATTTTATTAATTGTCTGTATTTTTGGTCTCTTTTTAGCTTTTATGTATGAATTATTTTTTTAACAGACTACTTTCTCTTTCTTTATGAACAGATTTATACCCATGTTGTCTATTAATTTGGCCTTAATTATTACAAACTTTGAAATTAACCACAAAGAAACATGTTTACCTCGTACTCAAACTCATTTCTGTCAATAAAAATTGTTTATTAAAAGTTTTAAATCCCATACACTCTTTTTTTTAATTTAAAAGATGCAAATACCACTACTGACATATCTGAACCTCCCTGCCTCAGAAAGGACTAGAATTTTCCAAAAAAAGAGGAGAAAAAATGTGTTTACGGTTATGTAAGGGACTTTACCTCAATAAAGTGCAGCCTTATTTTGGAGAGGGATTGCCTGGTTTAACACTAGGACTCCTCTGGCTATGTAGAGGCTTGGGATTGGAGTATCACGCACACGTCCCGCAGGTTAACACAGGCTGTGTATGTTTACAGACACACTTTAGCCAGGCCGGGTGAAGTACCACTCTGTATCTTATTGTAGCTGTGGTTCTTAAACCCTCCTATTTTTAGACAACTAGATTTAAGCCCAGTCTCAGTTGCTTGAAGTTGCTGCACCTTATTTACCAGCTACAGGCCCACGGTAAAGAGACTCGTCTACATCTTTCATTACTCTTTATCTTCCATATGCCATTGTCTTGGTGGATAAAGTCTTTGTAAGGAAATAAGCTGAATGTACCCATTTGGGAAGTTACTGAGTTAATTGTGCCAGTTCTGAAAACACAGGACCCATATGTATATCTCAGGATGGAATGAATTTACAGTATATGTCATGATGGAGTGAGCAACATCTATCTACTATGTGCTTTATATATTTATTTATTTATTTTTTCTATGTGCTTTTGACTAGCACGGTTTTGAATACTTAAAGGGTCAAATTAAATATAAAGGAATTATTGGTGTTGGTAAAATATTTTTATATTATTATTTTTTATATTATATATATATATATATATATATATATATATTTGAAGGAAGTCTCTTACAGTCACCAAGGCTGCGTTTAATTGATCCAAAATGCTGTAAAAATTGTAATATTGTGACATAGTATTACAATTTAAAACAACTGTTTTTAATTTAAATATTTTTATTAAGCAAAATTTTCAGCAGTCATTGCTACAGTCTTCATTGTCACATGATCCTTTAGAATGCTGATTTGGTGCTCAAGATTTTTTTTTTTTATTATTATTATTACATGAATTTATGTTAAATAGTTTTGCTTAATTTAAAACGTGCTGTGTCGAAAACAGTGCTCCTTAATATTTTTGAGGAAACTGTGACACATTTTTGGATTCTGAATAAATAAAAAAGTACAAAAGAATGGCATTTATTTGAAATATATATATATATATATATATATATATATATATATA